GCTTTCCTGGCCTCCTTAAAGCCACCCAAATGGGAATCCCCATCATTGTTAAATATCTAAATGGTGGAGTTTAACATAGCGCTCTCTACAGGAATTCCCCACAAGTGAACCACTTCATTATTGAAGGAGAGGAAGTTAATGCTGACCATTTGCAGCAGACGAAAACCATGTTAAGTTCTAAAAATACATACATTTAATATTTAACTTGAAGTTCAACTTCAGACTGAACCACTTTGTGTGGTGGGAAAGTATAACGGAGAACTTGAGCATGAAATCATTTGAGTTCCCCGCTGCTGTCAGGAGGAAATCTTGTTTTATTAAAAATTAATGCAGAGACTTTAGACTCGGCCTGGGGCGGTGTTTCTGAAGTGCCCTCAGACTGAGTGTAAAAACGCAGCGAGCAGTCTCAATCTGAGAGGGGAAAGCAGCAGACTTTAACTCTTTATTCTGACTTGCCTTTCACTGCTCTTGTGGTTATTGTTTGTACTTCTCTTTTAACCGTGTAACAGAAGTAGTGTAATAGACAAAGTGAGATTAACTACGTGTGAGTGAGGCTTAGACTTCTGACATTGGATCTTACACTCAGTCCCACGAGTCTTCAGTGAACCATAGTTCTTCTTGGTAGTGAAACAAATACACCATAGGAAATAATCATTTCCGTCCAGTGTGTGTGGGGGAGGGGTAGGGTGGGGGTTGGGGATGACGTTTGCTGTTGGATGGAAGATACAGAGAATATTCTTTAGTGTTCCCTTGATTTGCCTTTGGGGATCAAGGAGTCCATTCTGAGCTTTCCCTCAGGACATTTCCTATTTATGTTTCCTTTGCTTGCTACATACCGATTATGCTTGCTGCATTGCTCTATAATTACCGGAATCAGGAATCGCAGACTTCTTGGACTCCGGTGGCTGGCCTTGTGCTGTGTTTACCGATTCACTAGCTCGTGATTTCTCTCTGTTCCTCAAGGAATTTTGAAAGCAAAAATGATTGTCATCCTTTTCCTGGTGAGCACCATTGTTTGGAAGAAAGCCATACAGCCGCCTCAGTTTCCCTGGCTACTATCAGTGCTGCTCTGTGACAGCAAAGCTTCTCATTGATTCAATGTATGTGTCAGTGGGGGGAGGGACAGCGAGCACTATTCTCTATTCTGCGGCCTGGCTTAGAGATGGTTCAACTCTTGACAATCAGAATAACAAATTGAAGGAATAAGCAACCTGGGAGTTAAAGTCTTACAACCTTCTTATTCCCTTCCACCAAATACATCCACACACTAACTTTAAACAGTCAGTCAAATAGAACTTGCAACAAGATGTCCCATGTACCCTGAGGATCTGTGTGGAGCCAGGATTATAATTGGGCTGTACCACTCTTTACTGTCCTGCAGCTGCCGGCTCTAATAGCTTTGGAATTCTCTGCAGATGGATCCAGTGCAAAACTCGTCAACTGAACTGAAATGTGCTCACCCTGCAGATAGGACTCCAGGGAGGCATTTCATTTCAGCCTCTTGACATATAGTGCCTCTGTACTGTGGTCGTCTTGTTGTGAGCTTAAGTGGTTTGAAATTGGGCTGGATCATGTGTATACTACGTAAAAATATTGAAAGTATTATTTGCTAAAGAGCCCTCTATTGAAGGAGCTGATGGGTAGTTTCTTGCCTCCCTCTTGTGTATTTCTAACGTTCTTGGCCACTTTGCTTCTAATAACCCAGTATAATTTTTCTTCTGCCTGCAATCTCTTGGGAGAGAAGGCCTAGTCTTCTGTAACAGATTTGTGTCTGCCTATTGGAACAGAGCCCAGAAAAAAAGGAAGAAAATATGCAGAATCAAATTCTGCATTTGAATGACATTATTTAACACATCAATTATCTACTCACTGAAGCATGAGGAGTTGATGTAGTGAATTTTGACTCATGTCTTCAGCTGAAATGTTGGGCAGATAAACAGAGTAAGATTGGCATCTTTAGAGAGGAGAATTTAAACACTCCTCATCATTTGGTGATGGATAAGTCCCAGAGACATGGGTGTCACACGTTGCTCTTTCAGTGTATTTGACCGTTCCTGTACAACAGTATGAAAGGCATCATTGAGGGTCTCGAGACTTCAGTTGTTTCCTAGGTTGATTTTTCTGTGCCATAATACATGCAAACTGACTTGCAATCATGGAATAAATTAATGGATTTGACAATGCTGCCCATTCATCATGAGTGTGAATATTGGCATCACCATGGCAACTGTGTCTCCGAAAGACATTTCATACCCAGTTTACATTTGCAGGACTGCCAGTTTATGTAAGTGACATGGCACGTTTGCCTCCAGTTAACTTGATCTGATTAGTATTGAAGCGGGTCCACATCCCACTTCTGGCAGTGACACCAAGATCAGGAATGCATCCTGGGGCTCTCACATGCTTTTCTATCCATGGGAGGGATCAGCTTTTCTATCCATGGGAGGGATCAGCTTGCCCTCTGCCCCATGCCAGCAATAAAGTTTTGGCACTGCTGGCCTACACACAGCTTCTCCAGAGATAGAGAAATGTCTGTAGCTGGAAGAGAGTTGTGAGTCAAGACTTGGAAGCAAATGTTCCTGAGTGCTTTTGCCGTTTCCATGGTGCTGCCATTGCTTTCGATGTAAATTAAGTGGAATCCCAGCAGGAGCCTCGGGCTCCTTCACAGCATGTTCTATTTGAAGTGTCCTGCCTTAGAAGTGGGTCTTAGGAACGAGCACTGTGTTAAGGAAGTTTGACATTCTCTGGACACAGATTCTGTCTTGGGATTCAGTCAATTGGTTTTCGCAAACCATTAAGGAATAAACATTAAGATTTGACGTTTCACCAGGTATAATTTAAGATTATAGCAAGAGTTTTAATTTGTTGGGAACAAGGCAGATTTTACATCTCATTCACAAACATAAGGCTTATCAAACAGGTTTATCATAGGTGTTGGAGATTTGGCAAATGTTGGAGTCTGATGAATCTCAAAAGCTATTTGAAAGCAGCAACTGGAGTAGGCAGTGGTTCTCCCTTAATATTCTAACTGCAGAATTTGACTGGTTTAGTTTGAAGTTTCAAGTAGCCACTGGTATTCAGTTATACTAATTCAGACTGTGAAGAGGTTGTTAGTCCTTAAGTTGGCTGCTCAATAGGATGCCGCACTTAAAGGAAGGGTGTGTTACCCTGAATGAAGTGGTCTTCTTGTTGTAAGTAGAGTGGTAGCTGGAATTAGAGTATTTATTACCCAACTGAAAGAACAGACTTCGAATGCTAGACTTGATTGACAGTCAAGATGCCTGATGCTGGGTTATACGAGCTAGGGGAAAGTACTCTGAGGTGAGTCTGTCCTTAAAAATTGATGCCAATCATATAACTGAACCAGAATAGAACATTAAGTTTTGTTTTTTTGCTGAGAAGGTGAGCCATGTGTTCAGTGTCATGAGGCTAAATCCTTGTTTTGATCTGTGATCTATGCTCTGTTAGCTGACGTCGGCCATAGTGGCAGAAGCATGCTGGAGTTGGGCTTTTGTCCACAGGTGAGGAAAGGGAAAATGTAACTCAGTTGTGATCTGAGATCACTTAATGCAGCACAAACAAGGAATTGGACCTATTGGCTTTCTGGTTTGTATGGCTGACCGCATTCGGTGAGTGATGCCTTCACCCAACAAACCCACCATGAACCATTGATTAAAAACTGCTTCTGACATGGAGTTCCTACGTTGCATCTTGTACGTCATTGCTGCAGGCCTTGTGAGCGACACAGATGTGAGCCTGACTTGGAGCCAGAGAGAATGAGTTATGTTGATCTAGTTTTGCATAATATTTTTCTTGATATAATAGAGTACGCAGGGATTTTCCCCACGAGCATGTAAACGCAGCGGCTATCGTCTCATGGTGTACAACTCGCAATATGTTGTTCTGTCATTGTCATACCAGTGTGGCAGCTGTGACTTGTACTATGCAATTGAAGTGGTTCATTGCTTTGAGAAGAAGCAATATTGAATGTCTGTTATACTGGCTTTTCAGATATCTGTCGAAATGAGAGGCTGTGTTTTGAGACAACTGTCTCCTGTTGTTGATTGTGGTTCAGGGTCCTGGCTGAAACCTGTGTAGAATAGTTTGGAGGCCCAGTGGATAATTCATTTGCTCTGCTTATCGTTTGCAGTGTATCAAACCATTGTTTGGAGAACTGGCGAAACAACTTACTGCACGTTTAAGATTATACTGTTTGCATTTAGCTATCATTTGAAGATAGTGATGCCATGTTCCTGAAACGTTTGAAATCAAAGCCTTTATGTGAGCGTCCATGTTACAGACACTGCTGATAATAATGATGAATTTGATTGTTGAATTTTGCACTGCTGGCTGAGGTTATTTCTTTGATCATTCAATAGGCAGAGCAGGTTATCCGAGTCCTGAGGTGTCAACAACAACACCAAAATTACATTTATAGAGTGCCTTTCACGTCGGGCAGACAATCCGAAAGCGTCGCCATTTTCTGAACTCACGATTATTTATCATAACCTGATGGATTTTAACATCAAGGCAGCAATTAATATATTTTTAGAAATGAATTATTTTAAAATTGTTTCCTTTTAACACTATTGCTTCTGACATCTCAGTGGGCAGATATATGTCCAGTGTGGTTCTGAGCCATGTGGATCAGGAAGGTGCCTTGAGACAATCTATGATGAATTGCTATTTCTGTTGAGTCAGTGGTATCGATGCCCACACACGATATTTAGTGGAAGGTTATTTCTTGTTGTAACATTGTTGGAATGTATGTGAACATGGTGGATATTGGGGGAGGACAGAGAATCGTCTGTTATTGTCTAATATCGTGCTGAACCTCACACTTAACTAAAGTACCGAATAGTCATTTGGGCAAAGCACAGCCAGGTTGCTGGCATTCAGAAGAGAAATGAGGGAGAGCAGTCACAGTTGCTATCACCATTTGCGAAAGCGAAAAAGGAACATGTGATCTGTTTCCTCAAGTATTTATTTTGTTGTTACAGAAGGATCTTGCACTGAGACCACAGGAGCGGAATGAAAAATGGGAGAAACAAGTTGGGAAGAAACCGAGGGAAGTAGAAAATGGCATGTTGGCAGAGCCAAGTGAAAATGGGCATGAGAATGGCAATGGGACTTCTGACAGAGAACGGGATCAGGGAAGAGAACGAACAAAGAAGAAAGTTCCACTGAAGAACTTCACTCAGGTCTGTAACCCTTTCATTTGTACATCAGTAACGGAGACAAAGCTGCGGTTTGTGATCACACCTTTTGCTCATCATCCGTCTGAGATGTCAGTGGAAGTCACTACTGCACCTTGTGCTACAGGGGTGCAGATCTCTGGACACGCATTTTGCATATAAATATTTGTGACAATGGGTGGCTGGTTCAAATACTTGGTAAATTAATCAGAATTTTTCTGAGCCCATCGTCCATTTCTGGGCCAGATGCAAAGCATCAAACTCGATGGCTGTTGTTGGTAGAAGGAAACAAGTTGGCATTGTTCCCAGTTTTTTTGGGTCCTTCCATTTGGATTTTGTGAACTTAAGTTGGACTGATTTATCATTATTTAGATTAAACAATTGTATAATTGTTTTTGTTCACCCCCATATTAAATGCAGTAAATTAATACCTGGGAAGATGAGCTTAATAGCAAAGGAGGTTAAGAAATGATTTGATTGAAATATTTAAAATAATAAAATAAATTGACAAGTTAGATAGTGGACTACTCTTCCCTTTAAACGAAGGATAGGTTACAATAGTAAGAATTGAGGTCAGGAAGCATTTATTCACAAAGAAGATTATGAAGATATGGAAAGCTCTTCTCCAGAAAGCTGCAGAGAAAGAATTACTAGGGATGTTTAAAAGAAATATGCAGATGTTTGGGTAGTAGAGGTATTCGGCAATGGCATTGGAATTAACAGATCTACCAAGATCTAATAAACTGGTGGAACAGACTCAATGGGCACGATGACCTCCTATTCCTGTTTTCCTATGTTCTTGATAAAGAGGAGTCTGTGATAGATGGTTGCCATTTCACAGATTTCTTTGTTCGTTTGGAGCAGAGCATAGAAGGAAGTCAACGGAAAACCACACAGGAAATGTAATATACAAGCTAGATTAAAAAAAACTATCACGACTTCCTTTGTCAACATATTCTTGTGAGCTTAAAAAAAGAGCAAACTTTCATCGAGACGTTTAGAACCATATCTATGGGTCAGAGTGCGCTTACAGTGCTAAGGGAAGGCCAAGGGCAAGTGACAACTGATGGTAGTTTGAACAGAGATGATAATCATTCTGAAATATTACTCTGAATGGAAATTAAGAACTTTGGGGGTTCTCCAACTGAATGGGAACCTTTAACCATCTACAAGTGAGCCTCCAATTTGACTGCAGGAAAGAGAAGTGCAAATCAGCTTCTCATCAGCAAATTAAAGACATGGTTAAAACATTAATGCTTCAAAATTAGTAAATACCAAATAAATGACACTTTCATAATCTTTGGGTATCAGGCTTGGTGCTGAACCTTAGCTCTGTTATGTACAATAGTGTGGATTGGCAATATGTCCCTTAGTATGAATGTTGTGATGTACTAATATTTAAACTTTGCAAACAAATACAGTCAATTAACTTCACAGTAAATCCTGTAAATCCATGTCCTCACAATGTGATATGGCACTATACCAAATGCAAGAATTTTTCTTATTATTATTTATAATAAACTGGTTTGTATTGGATAAAATAACCTTAAAAATATCCTGAACTTGTATTCATTGGACCAGTTAAGATTTGTTTTTCACTCCTAAAGGAGTGCTCCACCACTGTTATGCACTCCGAGATACTACCCACATGAAGAACACTTAAATTTAAGCTGTTGTTGTTGAGTGCTGGGTGATCATTATAGTGAACTCATACGCTGGAAAAAAGGATCCTTGATAGACCTCATATTCACAGAACAGTTCCTTGAGATAAAAGGCATGCAACTTTGTATGAATCATGTTTATCTCTTATCAGGTAGTCACCATCCGATGTATATCATGTGTATCTGCTTTAAATGAAGCATTGTGCTTTTATCTACAGGAGCTTAGAAAGGCAGTATCTTGTCTTTTTTGATGTGGTCATTCGACTGAAAGTAACATCTGAATACATTAAAATTGATTTGCTTTAATGCTCCATTTGAAGATGCAAAACTCCTTTAAACTCAATGTTGAAATCTGTAGAAAATGCTGTCCTGCTGTCCCTTGAGGCAACTTTGTGGCAGAGCGATGCATTGCACTGTGATGTGGTGTGGGATGAGAGGTTGTATCCACCATTCCTGTTCTCAGCTGCTCCATCTGGAAGGGGTTCTCTCCTGGGTGGAGGAATTGGCAAGCAAGTGCTGGTGTTTGCATTCACTGCACTATGTTTGTCAGAGGCCTGGGAGCAGGGAAACCTTCAAAAAGTGGAGAAAGTAACTTCAAATCAATGTGAAATAAATTCCTAGAGTTTATATCCCTGCGGTTTATATGAAGTCAAAATGTCTCCCAAGTGCTTCACAGGTAATTGCTGCTGTGCAGTGACTATTAAATGCCTTTTAAAGGAGACTTACTAATATGAATTTCTGCAGTTATTTGCCTCAGTTTGAATACAAAATATTTTAGTGCAACCATTCATTAATGCCTCCTTGTATCTACATTATTCAAAGGAAACAATTTTTTAATTGATATTAACTTGAAGTAATGTATGACTTTCCAAAGGTTCCCTCTCTGCTCTGGGAACATTCACTCATTTTGAAGCACAATTCATTAGGTGTTGCTGCCCAGTAGAACCTCTGGAATATTTTACTAGGAAAAGCCGCCATCCCCATTCCCATGGGCTCCAGAAAACTTATTGGAGGAGTCACAAAGACTGGAATAAGGGCAGAGAGCCCTCATTGCCACGTTGGCTGAGGTTGGCTAGTTTAATTCCAATGAAATTGAACCTGTGGGCTCCCTGGATGAGTGGTGCACTATCATACCAACATGGTACATTAGCCCACTGAACCATTGGTCGGACTCTAATGTGGTTCATATTTTCACTGAGACATTTCACCCATTTCACTGAAATCGTATCAAAAAGCATCAAGAGTATTGCAGTGGAAAAATGTTTAAAAGATATTCTGATTCTTCTCGCTCAGCTCTTTATCCATCAATGCATATTTGGGGAGGACAAGTTTGCAGGGCTGTGGGGAGAGAGCGGGGAAGTGGGATTGAATTGGATAGCTGTTTTCAAACAGATATGCCGAATGGCCTCCTTCTGTGCTGTATAATTCTATGCATCATTCCTGTAGTGATGAATGCAGTTTAGTGGCACAATGAAAGTCACCGTCAGCAACAACAATTTTTTCAGAGGTTAAATACGTCCAATGCAGGATCCCAGTGATCCAAAAACTATTGTCTGATTCCCTGGAGCTTTATCTGTGTTGTTTCACTGTGAATTGTTTTGGGACGTCCTCCACATGTGAAAGGTGCTATACAATTATAATTTGCTGTTGTTGTTAACACTAAATGTTGGATACACCACCAACCTGCTCCTTTGTGCCAAATGCATTGTTGCTGTTTATGTCCATTAATTGGAGAAGTTAAAGCCTTCATTTCCTGAGGATGTGCGATAGAACACAATTGCTACTCTTCTTAGTATATTTGATGTGTGGGGTCATATGCGATACACACACAGTTGTCAAAAATAGTGAACTGATAATAATGATGCATTTATATAGTCTTCCACATTAAAAAAAACTTGAAGGATTTTACAAAATCTAATTGGTTTGAAATTAAAATGTTATACTATATAGGTAAATGGAGCAACCAATCTGCGACATACAGTTCATCTCGCTGTTTATGTTCCCATAAACAGCGAGATGAACTGCCAGTTTATTTGTATTTGGGGATAAATGTAGGTTAGGAGAGAAATGAAGATCATTTGACATTTCACTTTAATACAAAGGAACTGGCCAGCCTTGGAACTAAGTGCTGATTGGAATCCAGCCCCTGGTTTTCTGTCTGTACAACTGTTGAAATGTTAGTAGTGTTTCCAATGATTTACAGTCTCTTTGGGAAGCAGGCGACATTATGACTCTCGTAAGGAATTGCAGCAAAATCCTTCTTGAATGGAAATAATTCACGTATTTTTCACAAGTGTTGGTGTTATAAGTTGATGCAAGAAGTTCAGTGCCACCTAGAGGTTAGACACAGGTTTATGCCTTTCATCTCCACACAAGCCTCTTGATCTTAGGTGGAGAGGAGATGGATTAAAATCCCCCAGACTTTCCCAACTGCAGGGAATTCAATTACTGGGTAAGTCAACCCGGTTCTCAGCACTTCAAGTGCAGGATGTTGTGAATGGCATTGTACCATGTACCTTCAGTAATTGCAATGTATGACAGGCTTTGTGTATAGCTGGGGCTGTTATACTTTTACTGGATCATTGTGTGAAGTGGGTGAGATGCTTTAAAATGCTGTATCAAGCGCGATGTCTATTTACTTTATTATGGAGCGCAGAGAAAATGTTGTGTCCAATTGGATGGCACAGAATTAAGAATGTTTAACACTTGGTGACTGTCTAAAACAACTTTTATTCTAATGAATATTAAATGGTTTTGATTTGTTGTTGTAAAAAAAATTTTCATAATGGGGAATTATGATTAATTTGATAAATTAAGAATAATTTGACTTTAACTGTTATTTCTTATTCCAATGGGGAAATCATCTTTCTGGTTGTTGAATTAGATGAGATCATGGATTTTGCAGACAGCTGAGGCTACAAGCCATTTTCAGAAGTGTAGTTCTGTTTGTTAGATGTCTGGTAGGTAAAATAAACATTTGTCTTTCTCTCCACGCTGGTCATGGTTTTGGCGAGCTGTTTTTGAAGGACAGTGTGTGCAGTTCAACTAATGGAGGAAGTAAATGTAAGGAAGTTTACAATGGCCTTAAACCAGAATGTTATCCCAGTAGCTGTCAGCTTAGAGTTATTGCTGGAGTTTCTCTGTTCAACATCAAGTCACACTCCAAATTTATTGAAATTGAAAGGTTGGTTGTATTAAGCAACGCAGAATCTACAAACCCTGGAAGTTAAATTCCAATTGATGTGTTTGTTCGTGCTCCCTACATGATGTTTTGAGGTGAGAAGGGGAGGGTGGTGGGTTAGGCAGCTCTTTCACTGACGTCCTAGGTGAAAGTTGAGCATCAAT